AGTCCCTTAGACTAATTGTTTCCATGCTTCTTTGGTTTCCTTCAATCCTCTTTGCTCTGGATGAGGAGAGACTCATTGCTGCATCTAGATGGCCACTTGCAAGCTTTTAAGACCCTAGTCGCTACTCACCAAAGTAGGATGTAGAACAATGTTTTTGGGCAGTATGCTATGTCACTTGACTTTGATGTCCCTGTTACCATAGTCCTGAACTCACAGGTCCAACTACTTGTTCCCTCAGGGTAGCTGGCTGTGGCCAAGAAACCACAACAACCTTGCCCCTTGTCAGTTCTACTATACACCTGGATATTCTTACAGCACATACAAATAACCATGTAGAAACATAGTCTGCCAACCCTACACATGGTCATGGGCACACTACTCCTGTCTAGGTAAACCTGATCATTCAGCCTGTCCACTCATCTATACACCAATAGATCAATGCTGGCCATCACTGACAATGCAGTACTATACATGCAAAAGGGTTCACCTTTGTTGTCTGTATCTCCTGTGTACCTCTCTCTGTCTTCTTCTTCCCTCAGTGACACTGTGTTAATCACTTACATTTGGTACACTGGCCTTACCTTCACCCAAATCAATGCTTGTCTCCACCTATCTAGGAGTTTTCCCTCCCTTCCCCTCCCATTCCTGGTAACCAACAAAGAAAGCTTCCTTCCATATATAAACCTGTCCTTGACATTTTAAAATAGTGAACTAATACAATATTTGTCCTTCTGTGATTGACTCGTTTAATGCAGCATAATGTTGTCAAGGTTCATCCATGTTATGTTGTGTTTCAGATTCTACAAAATTATTTAGTGTTGCATAGTATTGCATTGTGTGTATGTAGCATAGTTTGGTTACCCATTCTGCTGATGGGCATTTAGGTGGTTTCCGTCTCTTTGCTATTCTGAATAGTGCTTCAATGAACATGGGTGTGCATGTATGTATTCTTATCTTGGCTCTCACTATTTTAGGATATGTACCGAATAATGAGATTGCAGGATCAAATGGCATTTCTAATTCCAACTTTTTAAGAAATCACCACACAGTTTTCCACAGTGGTTGTATCACTTTACAGTCCCACCATCAATGTATGACAGTCTCCAATCTCTCACATTTAAGCATTTGCAACTTTCTGTGTTGCTGAAGTTTACTATTATTAGTCCTGGGGTGAGATGGTATGTCATTGTTGTTTTGATTTGCATCTCTCTAATGGCTAATGATGGTGAACATTTCTTCATGGGTTTGTTGGGCACCTGCATATCTTCTTTGGTGAAGTGTCTACTCATATATTCTGCCCATTTTTAACTGGATTGTCTTTTTGTTGTTGAGGTATTGAAGTATTCTATAAATTTTAGAGATAAGTCCCTTGTCAGGTATGTCAATGCTGATGTTTTTTCGCAATCTGTAGGTTCTCTTTCTACTCTTTTGGAGAAGTCTTTTGAAGCATATAAAAAATTAAATTTAGAAAGTCGCAATCATCTAGTTGGCCTTCAGTTGTTTGTGCATTTTGAGTGATGCTTCATAGTTTATCAACTTTGTGCCATAAATAA